TGCCAACGCCACAACAATATTGACCATAACAATAATGGGGGATAGGTGGTTTGTGGTACAAACGCCCAAACGCCTGCTGTTTACAAGACCCATCGGATATCACTCAGCATTTTACCAAGAAGTCCAAACAGTCAGGAATTACATGCCTTTTGAAGCTGAAATTCCCTTGTCACTTAGCCGCGTTCAATATCCGCACACTATCAGATCGGTCAACAAGCTGCCTTGACTAGAACTCTTGAAACTTTCAATTTAGATGTATACTGTGTCTCTGAAACACGCATACAACACCCTACTTCCATTATCTTCCTGCGTTCTCCTGATACAAACTCAACTTCACGCTTCACCCTTCGTGTGTCCGGCGATTCGGCGTCCGAAGCTCGCGGTGTTGTTGGTGTCGGGATTGCGTTAAGTGCCAAAGCTGAACGCTCGCTTCTAGACTGGATTCCAGTCAGTAGCCCACTGTGTGCCATACGTCTCAACGGTTTAGCACGGGTCAACAGCTACAGAACGAATTGTCGATGTCATTTCGTCCAGTCGGTGTATGCACCGACCGATTGCAGTACATCTGAAACCAACGATGAATTCTACAAGGACCTTTCTCAATTAATCCAAAGCGTTCGATCAACGGACATCGTGGTAATCACCGGAAACTTCAATGCTCAAGTGGGATCCCTGGACGAATAAGCAAGGCTTCTTGGTGGACCACATGAAATCCCAGTCAACCGGACGGACAACGGAGACCGCCTACTTCAACTCTGCGCGGACCACGGATTGTTCCTGTCAAGCACAAACTTCTCGCACAAGAAACGACAACGCCTTACATGGGAACCGCCAACCTCTTCATAGCGCTGAACCCAAATCGACCACATCGCCATCAGTTACCGGTGGAGGGGATCGATTCAAGACTGCCGCTCTTACTGGTCAACACCTGTGGATACGGACCACGCTTTGTTGCGAGCTAAGTTCTCCTTACGCCTGGCAAACAACCGTAAAAAAGCCACCGATACCGGATACTCACGATACAACGTCAGCCATTGTTGCAAGTCAGCCTTCGAAGAGGAACTCTCCGACCGCCTGTCAGTTCGACCACCAGCTGAAGAACTCAATGAACACTGGAAGCAAATCAAGGAAGCTATGCAAATATCAATAAAAACAATGTCAGACCCTTGCGCAGGCTCAAAACATAAACGATGGATCTCATCGACCTCGGCCGCCCTGCTGGACGCCCGCAGAATCTTTCCTCCTAGTACCGCATATGACACCACGCAAATCCCACAAACGCCAGCTCATCAAGAGTCTGAGGAATCACCGCGAGAAATGGTGGATAGGAAAATGTAGAGAGATGGAGAAGGCTGCGGCTCTTGTTAATAGTCACAATCTTTTCCATCTAATTAGGAATACGAGACCCAGGAAAATAGGTGTAAGCCAGGTAATTAAGGAATCTGATGGCACACTGATTCACGATCAGCAACGCCGTCTTGTTCGATGGGGTGAACATTTCGAGGCTCAGTTCAACTGGCCCCATCGACATCTGAACTATCACCCTCCACCACGAGTGCGCAAATACTGTCAGTTGATGCCAGTCCTCCATCTGAAATAGTTGCTCGCCGAGGCAGGTAGTGGGTGGAATAAAGCCAAGGGTGGTCAAGCTAAGATCTTGCATGAGGGTATGAAAACCCTAACCAGGAGTTTGGGTCATAGAGGTCCCGTTAGGCTCCCTGGTTGGGGACCTCGGGATGTTCGTAACCGATGATTAGAGACACAGCGATATGGTTGGGTGTCGTACACAGTAGCGTTCATGCATCTTCTCCATTCCTCTGCTTCGTTAGACCACTGAACTTTTCAATTTTCTCTTTGATCTCACTTTCAACCTTCCTGTGTTCCTCCTATTGTTCATCCAAGTGGGCAGCCAAAAGCATCGCACGGAAATGCATGGTTAATGATCGTTTAAGCCGAAACTGCACATAAGTTTATTCGCTGGGTGTTGCAACGATTATCTATGCAGACGTCTTGGTCATATGAACACTAGTGCAGAATATGATTCGAACCCGTTCACGGTTGCACCTGCTTCGCCTTGAAGCCCAAGGGGACGATGGAGTTGATATTGAGCCATCCAACAACAATAACAACAACAACAATTTGGATGCTGATTATCGATTGTATGGGCTACGACAAGAATCAAGACATTATAGGATCAAGAATTTCATAGCCTATGTTGTCATTTCACTTGGTTCAAAACGCATTCAACATACACAGCCAACTCCAACACAACCTATCAGTGTCATTCGTCAGTTTACTCGTCCAATAATGACGGGGAAAAGCAACGACAAGTTTTTTCCGCCGAAGGCTGAATGAAGTCTGAGTAGATAGAATCAGATGTGATTTAACCCCTCGGACAACTATCGATGATAGGCGCTGTGACGAATATCAATTGCACTCACTGTGGGGTTGTTCGGATCAATGCACTGTTTCTCGCTCTCCATACAATCGCACCGATCTCCCGTGTAGCCGGGTTTGCACACACACGTCCCATCACAATTGCATGTGCCACGTTGCGGACCACCGCACACTTGATTGTCGTCTGAGGCACGTTTACACCCGTGACGATCACACTCGCAATATGGGCCTTCGTAGCGCGCTAAATTACACTTGCATTTCCCACAAATGCATCTGCCACGACCAGAGCACGGCTGTTGATCGAGACGCGGAACAGAGAACACGGTTGAACGCGGAAAAAGAGAGAAATAGATGGTCATTAGAATAGGTTGTTAAGAGGTTTAATGCTGACAATTAATCACAATGCATACTACTGCTTCGTGAATTTCTGACACCGAATTGGAAAAAGCATTTTTACTTTCGCATGACTACCTCTTACGACATGATCGGTTGTCTTCCTTTAAGTCACTGCCCGTGAGGGACGGTTTGAAACCAGCTCAGCGCAGATCGTGACCTAATTTTTGTTTCGTTTCTGGATCTCATAGACCGATAGGAAATCTACATTCTTTATTTTTCACGACAACGCCAACCAGGTTGCATTCGAACAACAACAAAAAACAATCCTCTCCGGCTGGCAGGGGGCCTAGCTGTCGTGCTGCTCAACATCATGTTTATCCTATTGGATTATGACTCCAATTCTCAGGGATTGTTTAAATTACTGGGTTCAATGAAATAAAGCTGCACAAGAAAACAGTGAATTTCCAAAACGAAACTTTCTTTTAGTTGTGTTTAAGTTGCGTGTGATGGCCGATAAAGAACAACTGTTTAGTCCCTCTCTGGACCCATTAACAATGCGTACTATTTGCGCGTCCCTGCAAATCCTTTGGGTTGAGAGACCAAATCTTCCACCCAGAGCTACCCAGTCGACGAACACCCGAAACGCATGGTTCAGTCAATAAGATTGAAACACAGACCCCGATACCTGTAATTTCGTGACTAAAAAGAAAGCATTCTTTCGAAATGGGAATCCGTCATTTTGAGTGATCCAACGCGAATAAAGAGCGCAAGGAAATAAACAGACCAACATTATTTGACAACTTTGTGTTGCATTTTATAAAACCCTAACCTTATACGGTCTAGCATGGATTTTTGCCGAATAAATTGCTCAACCGGTAGTTCAAAGAGATATTTATCTATGGATTAATCGTGGTGTGATACTAGATAGGAATAATGTTCACAGTGCGTACAAGGATAAATTATAAACCATGAATGGAGGCGTCCCGGTATCTGATGGATTACGTCTAAGGTC